CCACCCAGCTCCAGCGACATTCAACTCGGTTTTGGGAGATACTTGCTGTTGTGGCCGTTGTTTCCTACAGCAGATTCTTTCAGATTTTTCCACCTTCTCGGCTACCATTCTTGCTCTCCTTCTAAGCCATTGGACCTTGTTGTTCTTTTATGCAATCCGAACACGCTTTTGAGCCTGTTAAGGTATTTGACTATTACGGATTTATGCCAAAACATTATTAAAGTACAACAGCAATAACACATAGAAAGATTGCAGAGAGGTTTTGTTTGTACAAATTTTAGCCAATGCTGGACTCCTCCTAATATTGCTTTAGTAGCAAACTTCAATCAGACAGGAAACAGTCGGAGGTAAACCATCTATTGTTTGGGTTTGGAATATTAAAAATACAGTCCAATCGCTTTAAGCTGTATTGTGTGTGGAAACGAGCAACTCAGCAAACGCAGACTAAGCAGTCAAAATCCTCCCTTGTTCATCCTGCTATTGGAATGTGAAAATGGTAAGCAGGGAAGAGGCAGATAGAAGAGGCTTTAAAGGAAAGAAGGAATCCGTGCTTGGGAAAAAAAATGCGGAAACAGAGTGTGACAGAAAGGTCCACCTTAGCCCTTGTGCCTGTTCCCCTACTAAACACGGAGGACAGAAAAGTGACTTGCAGATGTCCTTGAACACCAAATTTAAAGTCCCCTGAAGCAACAGAGATCCATTTCCTCTACTAGGATATATTCCCAACTCTATTATGGATAAAAAAAATTACATTTGACAAATCGCTTGCTTTTTTGATTAAAAAAAATTTTTTTTTTGAAAAAGACACGGTAGTGAAACTGGCCTGGACCAAAACAGTCATGCCCAACTTTTTAAGGCTATTTATGCAATGAAACAATTTCTGTGTTTCTCACTGACACTTGACCAAATTGCTTCAGCTGAACCAAAAGAAGGAATGTGGGCCATCAGACTGCAGCTGCACGTCTCTGAATAGCATGCGGTCTGGATGTAAGCAGATGGTCCACCTTAGCGGGCCCAGTTCAGCTGAACTTTCCAGCAAATGTGACACTCTCCCACATGAGGACTAGTCCAGACTGCTGATTGTCAATAGTCTAAAATGCAGAGCGTAGCACGTCGATAGATGCTTATAGTGGCAGGCAGGGAGTGGGAGATGGAGTGTGCAGGGGGGGAAAAAAAAAGATGGACTAAGGAGACAAGACAAGTGGAATGACTTATTCAACAGGGAACTGGACAGGAAGAAACATGAAATTAGCACAAATAGATTATCTGTCGACTACAGGCAGGCCTAAGAGCAAGCCAAGCACTGTGGAAGCAGAGAGTGAGGGAGGGAAAAAGGCAGATTGACTTCTACGTTTCTCCCTTAAGGGAGAGCCATCACTTACCAAACTGCTGATATGTACATCCAGCAGCGCTCGCGTGCACTTGACTACGATTAAAATGCACCAACTGAGTGAGGACAGAATCAATGCAATGATTATCGTTTATCATTGCTATCCTTCTATGACACTGGGATAGAACAGGGAGACAACTGCAGTCCACGTCTGTCCAAAAGGAAAATCTACACTAGGTTCAGCTTCAAGACATACACGGACATATTCATCCCCAAACCATAAAAGTGTTCGAGGTACCACCTGAGTAGACTGTCCTATTTTCACCAAAGGTACAAGAATGCCCCTTCAGAAAGCATTCCAAACTGCCCAGATCAATTTTGGTTCGCATAGCAGGTCCTTACAAAATCCAAACCAAACCACAAATGGTTTTGTGGTCCACCACTAGACCAAATAAAACACGTCTTTCTTTCCTCTGAGCTGAAAGGTTGGTGGACTTGTCAAACGTTATGATATTGACTGATTCTACCCTTCGAGTGGTTGACCCACGTCGGTACAATGCAACCCCCCCACCCCCAAAAAACCTTTCACACAAAATGTCCTAAAAAGTGAGTCTTAGGTGTTATTTGTCAGACACACTCTTGCCTCGGCTTCCTGCTATGCACACAGCTGTCATTCCACCTCTGATTCCAACCTCACACGTTAGGAGCTTTGGGGGGGTTGGCTTCAACCTGCCATTCCACGGGAAAAAGCGGGAAGGAAATGGGGCTTTGATATTCCAGGTGAAAGGCTACCATGACAGTTCGTGACCCTCCCCCACAGGGTATATATACGTGTAAGCTGTGGAAATTGAATTTCAACCTCCAAGAGGACAGAGAGAAACAAAATGTCCTCTTACCAGCAGGAAACGGGGCTTCTGCGTCATCCTTTCATGGCTCAGTGGGAGAAAAGTTTTGGAGGGATGGCACAAACCTGAATGGAAAGTACCTTTTGCCCTTTAAAAGTCCTTGCCAACTTTTGTAATCAAAAGATGCAATAGAGCTTTGATTTAAATGTGCTCAAACATCCAATCTACAGTTATCAGCATTGGTTCTTTCATGGCTCCGTGATTGTTGTTTATCCCTGGAGTGGAGGCGCAGGAATGGAAAGGGTCCGCAACTTCGTGTATAATTCAAGACAGGGAACCACAGTCCCCTCAGAGACATGTCCTCTGCACAGAAGAAATAGAGCGAAACATGGGGACGGACGGGGGGTGAGACAGGGAGGGAGGAAGGGATCCTTTGGTGGGCCCTTCTGCTTTAATTACATTGTATTGATCACAGGCGAGATGGCAGGGAGGGGAGGGGGTGGGGGGTCATTTGGTGAAATTGCAGGCTGCCGTTACTGTAAAGATGTAGGAAAAGAGGGGCTTTGCAATTACGTTAAAGTCATACGCTAGATAATTAGAAAATCCTCAGAACCTTTCAGGCTTTCTTTTTCCATGCCCCCGTTTAGCATAGCTGGTACAATAAAAATTACAAGGGTGTCAAATTCATTTAAGTGCTGGGCGGCTTGCATTGTTCACATCCATCACACGGTTACATGCTTGGTTGGATATGAAATTCTTTGCATTGATTTCTTTCAATCCAAGTGCCTGCAGTACGGTCCCTTCCAGTAATAAAGCCCAGTCGAAGGCTCATCATGCATGAAACCCCCCCGTCATTCACTTCTGCTTTCCTCTAGACGGGCATGCTTCTGCAAAGTTGGACTTTGTTCCTTTTCTAGGTTGACCTACTTGAGAAAACAGCTTAGAATCCTTTCTTTGTTTTTCGCACTCCTATGGAAAGACCAGAAAATCTCGGGGCTCTCCTACGGAAATTCTCCCTCCGCCCCGCTCCTCATTGCTGATCCAGGCGGATGGCAAATGTGCCAGATTCAACCTCCCTGCCCCAGCAAAATCGCTCCCGCCGAGTCTCACAGAACTGTAGTCCAAGGGGTTAAGGAGCTTACGTCTCGTATATGATGCATGAAGAAAGGAGGTGAGCGGTGATTTGCCATGGGAGGGGAAAGAGGAGAGTGAAGCCTCCCAGTCTAAAGTGGATCTCATTATGGCTGAACTGCGAGTTACCTTTGGTAAACAGTTGCGCACGTTCCTCGGGCAAGCATCAGTCTCACAGCGGCGAGCTGGTGAGCGACCGTGGCCCGATGACAGTGTGCGGCCATTGCTCAAACCTACAGCCCCATAGCGATGCGTCGGTTTGGTCTTCATCGTTCGATAAATAGGCTGCACGTTTTACACACCGGTTATAATGGACATTGAATCTCTTTCATCTCGTTACAGAAATTGCTTTTACACAAATGAGAAAAACATTTGCAACCATTAACATCGATGTTACGGTGTGTCGGGGAAAAAAATGCATCTCATTCATTTTATAACTCTTCTGCTCGGATTTATCGTGCTAAAAAGCGGTGTCATATCATGTAGATTCCGACCTATTCAGGCGAGTTACCGTGTTCTAATGCCAAACAGGTACTGATTTTTACATAAGGTAGACCCCTTTTTTTCAAACCTGCCCTCTTCAGCTGATTGGTCATGCGAATGGGTGGCCCTGTATCCCTTGGGTGGCGTTTGAAACCCTCCCGCTGTGGTTGCATGCATTTTGATATTGAAAATGGACTACGGCAGGCCACATATGAAGGAGAACGTGAAGGAGGCAGGTCCGAAGCCGGAGGGCAGTGCCAGTTGGCACTCCCGAGTCACACAGGGATCAGACACCGGGGTGAGAGATCGTTTTGACCTTGTATCTTTTGCGATGCATTGTTGTGCAGTGAAATTTCAAACTGCCTCACAGTTATCGATTTGAGGTGTTCTTTCATTACGATTTAGAAACAACACCTTTCGACACTTTCAAGCAATTATGAAGAGCTTACAATTTCTTTTCATCCTAGTTTTATGCACTGAAATGCACCTTTATTTACAGGCTAACACGATTGACTGTAACAAGAGTAATGGAGTTTAAAAAAAATAGACCAGTTTAATTCCCAATTGTCATTTAAATAACCTCTTATTCACTCTTATGCATGTACGATTGCTTCACTTCAATACAAGCACAGTAATGCTTCTGTGGATGTGCTCCCATTTGTTGTCATTCTATCTTCCGCCATGTTGTGCCACAACAATAGTTTGGAGCCACGTTCAGCTCGCATGACCCTGACACATCGTACTGTAAGCTGCAAGCATACACTTGCATTGTTGTGATGTTTTGCCGTGCCGCGCGTTTTGTACTGCGAGCCTCTCAAGTGTGAAGAGCCAAGCAAGCGTGATTAAATCTTCATCGCGACACTGCTGCAACCGCACTCACATCTGTCAAATTGAAAAACCACAAAGTGTAAAACACGGCGTAAAACACATCCACTTAGGTTTGCGCCGCAGTGACACACAGTTGTGCTCAAGATGCAAGGGGGGCCTTTTGTGACTGTTAATTGGATAATGACATCTTGTTTCGCACGTTACGTGACCCACTGACCACTGCGGAAGCAAGAAATCAAAGACTAATTACGACCGGTGGTGACCTGGCCGCTGGAATTGTACCTCTGATGTTTACCACAGTTAAATGCTCAGAGAGTTGACTGAAGCTAAAATTCTTTCCAATCATTTTCTCACAAATAAGTGCAGGAGCATCGAGTTCTTACCTGCCCTGGACTTTAATGTCAGAAATGGCGTAGAAGTATCTGGACAGGTTGTTCTCGTCCACCATTGTGGCTCCAGTGGCAGGTCGCAGCAGACGGATTCTCAGGGCTGTGATGGTGAAAAAGTCTCGCAGGTTCTTGGTGGTGTCCAGTTGGCCATAAAGTGACGCCATGTTGTGGAGTCGCGGACCGGCGAACAGCGCAAAGCGGTCCTTGATCTCAAAGCGAACTGTTTTGTCATACTTCCACACATAACCTCGAGAGTAGTCCTCAGTGCAGATGATGTCCAGCAGAGTATGCTGGGTCAGATCCTGCACCGTCTTGGGCTCCATGGTGAAGGCATCCAGACAGTCAGTGGCATAGAACTGATAGGGCTGCCAGCTACGTCCATAGTCCAGCGACTTTTCCAGTACCATTTGTTCTGGTCGGCCTGACTCAAACGTGAGGACGATGTCATCTGTCAGCTCGATGGTCTTGTTCCAAGAGAGCGTGATGTTGACCAGGAGGGCCTTTGGATACCTTTTCCAGGACGTGGACTGCCAGAACGTCGTGGGGTTGCGTCCCTCGATGTCAAACATGAGTTCTGGAGGGTGGGCGAGCTCCTCAGTGCTGGCGTCACATTCATTATTACACATGTAGGGATTTTCCTATGAATCGAAAAAAAAAATAACAATCATATGTTAAGTGGAGTGAATTAAAAAAAAAATCAACAATATGGAAGCATATTCTGTGAAAGCCCTTTTTGATGATAAGGCAGTGTTTACCTAGTATTGTTTTCTCTTGGATTTTATTGATTATTTCTCCACAAATATATTTATACCGTATGTACGTTAGCTTTTATCTCGGCAGGCTAACAGTTAGTTAGATTAAGAAACGGCTTCATTCGGCTAACGGGTTTTTCGTCGTCCTCCATGGCAAGGTGACAATGAGACAGCAATCTCGCAGGCCTTCTAACTGTTGGAGGGCCCCATTAATATCCTGCCTCGACCATCCCCTACAGGCATTTTCCTGCTCTGGGAAGTCATGGCTGTGAGGTGGTTGAAGGCTGGATGGCGCTGGAAAATTCCACCCAGGTGTCTTAACACAATCTCATGGTGGCACATTAAGGTGTGACATTAACTGCAGCATCTGGTGCCCTGTGTGTGTTTGGCCTCCTGGTAAGTTGAACATGCAAACTGTTCGCAGCTAATAAGTTCAATCGCTTTCGATGTAAGACTACATGTATGAGAAAATAATTTTGCCCAAACAAGAAGTCCCTCAAGATAAATTGAAAGAGAGCAGTTAATGCCCTGAGGCATACCGTAAAAGACAGGAGAGTATTTGTTCGTGTCTCGTAAAGCTGTTGCAAAAGACTGCGGTAAAATGTCCCCTTGCCAATCGTAAAGGGCTCGCTAATGGGTACATAGCAATTATTTCAACCAATCACGGACATATTTCATCTAGGATTAATCAGATCAACTAAAATATGGAAACCTAATTGACATACAAAGCATGAATAAGTGAACAATGGCAAAACTCAAGGGACTTTGCTGACTTGGTGAAAGCCTTTTATAATGTAGTTTGCAAAAATGTAGAATTGCACTGACACATACTGAAAATGGATTGATCACTTTCCCCTCCTATACATTTTTGGGGGTCAATTTGACTCCATTCATTGGTTAGCATCCCGAATATAGGATTGCCATATTTTTTTTAGTCTTCACGTTTCATGACTTTTCTCGAATTTTATGAGGGCACCTTGTAAACAGAAAATTAACATGACAATATGTTTTTAATGTCCCGTACATATGTTGTACGCATCTGCTTTCTTTTGGGTCATTTTGACCCCAAGCTGTTTTCGCTGGATGACACATATGAGCCATATGGACATTTTACACACATTTGTTCTGGGTGTTTTGAATGATACCGAGGCCACAGTAAAATGCAGTTTTATCATCTTGAAAAATCTTCACACCTGACATATTGTCACTAGATATGTCCAAACATAATCGCTTCCTGTGCCCTGAGGGGCTCAAAAATGTGCTGCGCGTTAAACTCGGCAACCTTGGCCAGTCGTCCAGCACTCTCCTGAACCCACAGGTTAAATATATTTTATCGCCGCTACTTGTCTCCCACGCTTCAAAATACAACCTTTATGTAGATCAATAACCTCGACCTGGAGAAGAGGAAAGAGATAAAATGCTGAGTGTATGGCCTCATGAAAATCGATGGCAGACATCTGTGTTTTACTGGAGGGGAACCTGCGAGGCCTCTGTTAAGCAATTAACGGTGTGGCACAAGCGGAAATAATTGACCGCACCCTGAACGCAGCGTAGCAATAATTACTGAAGATGTTTGTACAAATCCCACCGGGGTGTTGGGTGGTCAAGAAGCGGGGAGGTTTCAACCGTCACAGAAAAGCGAGCCAGAAGCCAGGTTGCTGGAGCACTTAATTGCGGTTGATGTCATCACAACACACCGGTTTGATCAGATTAGAATAGAGATTCTACTGCATGCGTGTGTGCATGTGTGTGTGTGTTGTGTTGTTGGCAGGATACCGCTCTGAATTCCAATCGCATTGTCCACATTACTGTCAAACTGTTAACCTAATTTAACGGCCAACGAGAAGGATAAAAATCAACAATGTCGTAAACAGAGGCTCATGAATTTGATTGCAGACTCTATTCAGCCGCACTTCACAGAGCCAGAGCCGTTTGGAGTGCTCAGGCGGCGGAGAGGGAGATTAACGCTTGCTCTTTATGTGAGGGGCTTTTAGACACATTACAAAACACTTGTCGAAATTAATTTTCATCTCAAACGTTTGCACATGAAGATACATTGCGCATTTGGGTTTGGGCATTTGTCACTGAGTGTTTGATTAAAGATCAATTTGTCATTATCACGAGTATATGAAATGCAGCGGTGCCTTGCGATACAACTTGACAGTCATTTATCGCTTGACCACACTCTTGATTCCAAACGGCTGTTCCTCAAATCACCTTTCACATGTTGGAATGATGCACCAGCATGAAGATCCACAAAAATGATTGGATGAGATAATAGCGAAAGACAAAGATGTGTCTGAGCTTTTAAACCGTGTCCGGTTTTTAAACTAAGATATGGTTGCGGCGCTGACAACCTTGGCCTGTCGACACTGCAGCCATTGATGGAGGATGGGACTTGAGGGAATATAAATTTACTGCCTGCTGAGAAGACATCAAGATGGATGGGCTCCCACCAATCAAATCAATCTCTATGTGTGACAGATGTGTCAGACGTATGGCTCAGACAGCAAATTGAGCCCTGCCTGTGGCATCTATTCTTCTTCTCTTCCTTTGTGTCCTTCTTTCTCGATTCATCTTTCAACATAATCGTCGCATATGTGCCGGTGTTTTTCTGCATTTCAATCAGAAATATCTGTTTCTCATTAAAATGGCAGAATCGGAAGCATTCGTCTGGGAGTCTTAAAGTCGCCTCTGCTCTGGGTTTTTTGTTATCATTGGAAAATGGTTTGCAAGAGTCTTTCGAAAAGGTCTCCAATAGTTTTATGTCATCATATGACACACCTGACACGAGTGGCTCGAGAGTATTCCGGCATGCAAATGAGAATCACCTTCATCATGATGAAGATTGGGATAATTAGCCGGTTGCTTATTTATGATAGCCTCTTCATTCACAATGAATACGGTAAGCAATCGTGCATGTTTTCTGTTGTCTTAACTTCAACTGAGATGTATGACATTTTCAATGTGTGAACCAAAAATCCGCTTTCAGATATTTTGCTAACGAATGCTAACAAAGCTTTTTTGTTCCTCGATAACTCCCTCATAGCCACCCATCTCGTGCCATCTCGTTTTGAAAATTCTCCCTCTTCCCATCCATGCCTTGAGTGGATCAGCCATTGCATCCTACCCCCCCCCCCACACCCCCATCTCCCTCGCTCCTTCTCCCATGGTGATAGGTGGTGCAGACAGAAAGAGGGGCTTAACCTGGACGTGGAATGAATATTGGATGCCACTGTGACAGATTACAGTGGTAATAGACACCCGGGCCAAATCCTCACAAGGATTACAATCATATTTTCAAATGGTTCAGGGTCGGCCGGAGGTCGCCCAGGCTGGACTGCGGTCAACAAGGTGGTAGTGGAGCACACACACATACCAGAAATTCACGCCTACTTCTGGCGGTATTTATCTTTCAAATGCCTTTTATGTCTCCCGGCAGACAATGGAACCGGGATGAAGGACTGAGTTCAATCTTTGAAATGGCTCTAATTGTTTTTGTAAAACACAGACCGAGAGTGTTGCACCAACCCTCGGTGTTCAACAGTTCACTTTTTGTTTTGTGGCCCCCAGTGGGAGAGATCCAAGACAGCGTGAGCTCCTCTGATTCACCGCCTTCCGTACGGGTGTGTGGCTGTCATAAACAGAGGGGAGCTTATGAGGCAGGACCATGTGTACATGTCCCCTATTTCGGTGCCTGTCAATTTGGGAGATTCACGAAGCTTAAAACAATAGTAGAGTGAGCCTTCAGCCGCTGCCCTTTGCATTTAGAGGATATAAAACACATTTTACATTCCATTATCTTTTATATGGGGTATCACGATCATACGGTTTGAAGGACAGGATGATGGCCCCGTGCTTGAGAGTGGAATTGTAAAAGTCGCACTCAAGGGATAAGTGCATCGCTAACGCACAGAGTTCATGGCTTTGGCAGCCCGACGCAATGTGTAAGAACTCCAATTGTAGACGAGACAAAACTCTTGCGGTTGAGAGCCCCGACCTCAACCCCATTAAAACACCTGCGCTTGTGGATAAAATGGACACAAATGACCTTAGACACACTGAGCAATTGCAGAAAATCTTCCCAACTGCAATAGTAGGGCAACATCGATTTTCACTTTCTGTTTATGGAGTGGCTCGGTTTTCTAATATACCTGTCCCAAAGGAATACGTGTCCCAAGAGAATACCTTTCTCAATCAACCTGTCCTGTTCGATAATAGAAGCGGTAATTGTTTCCTCACTTTTGAAGCCTCAAGAGCCGAGGCTTCGTCAAATGGTCACCGCCATTGCATCACCCCACAACAGTCCCTCACCATCTCTTCATCCACTGTTACTTGTAGTGGTAGCGTTCTACTTGGCTAAAATCCAACCCAATGTTTCAAAACATCTGCGTCATCAATGCCGGTGCCAAAAATGTTTACTCTCTAGTTTTGCTGCAAAATCTGATGTTACAAAGGCCAAAATTCAAATTATTATTCTGTACTTGTAGGGTTTTGAAACTGTCACGGGCGAATTGTTGTCTTCGTCGGTAGAATCATGAGCACAGGAAAAAGACAGAACGCTGATATTCGGATTCAAATTATCCAATGCGTCATAAACAAAGGAGAGATAATCCATAAGTCTGTCGTCATGTTCACTTAATGTTGCAAAGTGAATCAGATTGGGGAGACACAGGAAAAGGAACATGTGCCTTTCTGCAGGATTTGCTACAATTCGTGACATTACCAAGGATTTTTACAACAAAAAAAAAAAAAACACAAGTCAAAACAAACTAAAAACGATCATGAAAAAAAAAAATCATACAGCCGTGCACACATAGGAATAGTACACATCAGCGTCTCCATCACGCATGTAAACCTAGCACCTTCTAATCATCTAAGAGGGC